GGAGTACTACTCATCCATAAAGATGAGAAACTAGAGACATTTATAGCTAAATGGGTGCACATTGAGGCCATACTTTTAAGTGAAATAAATAGGATACAAGTGTAAATATTGAATAGTTTCTCTGGTGTGAGAAACTGAAAGTGTAAATAAGGACTAAATGTTATAATAGATAATGTGAAATAGGAAGAAAAGGTCCAAAGGGGAAGGGGAAGTAGGAGGGGTAGGGGAAGGGAAAGGAATAAATACGAGAAAAGGAAAAAACTAAATAGGGGTGGAGGGGGTGAAGGGAGGGCAGGGGAATGAGGAAAAAAATAACCAAAATATATCACAAATTTCCAGTGGTGAATGTCATTATATTGTATGCCTAAAATGAACCAATAAACTTCATGAATAAAAAAAAGATGAGCACAAGAAACGTTTTACTAAATCCAAACGAACCCATTAGTCTATTAAAATATCGTTAGATGCATAATTAACTGGGAAGTAAGTTGTTTTACTATCCAGAACATGTTATTTATTCATTTTTTATTCACTTACTTCATTTTATTTATTCATTTAATTACTTTAGTCTTTTAATAGGTATAACTTGCCAAGTAATTCTGGAGTTTTTAGGTTTTGAATAATATAGATAATAGTTTTGTCATTTTCACAATATTTATCACATTGGCCAGAGTTAGCACTAATCAGAAACACTGAAAAGAATAAATGTGACTGAGTTTTTACTGTGCAAAAAGGGTGTTAAAAGGCCTTCTAGGTATATGTCTTCCTGAAAGAGTTAAAGACATCATATTACAGTGATACATGCATACTCATGTTTATAGCAACATAATTCATAATAGCTAAATCTTGGAAACCACCTATATGTTGATCAACAGATGAATGGATACAGAAAATGGGGTATTTATGCACAATAGAGTCTACTCTGCCATAAAGGATAAAGTTGAGTTCATAGAAAAATTGATGCACCTTAAGACCATAATGTTAAGTGAAACAAATCAGACACACAAGCTTAAATATCACATGGTTTCTCTTATATGAGTAACCCAAATTATAAAGAACAAAATAAAAGATAGATAATAGGAATTAGGGAAACACATTTTTTGCTCATGAGAAGGGAACCAATAGATGGAGGGAGGGGAAGGGGATAAAAAAGGATTAATATGTGTTATATATATGTACCAACTCCCCACAAGGAGTATGATTATTATGTCCTGCAAACATGTACTAATAAAAAAATTGAGGAAAAAGGTTAAGGAAGTAGCTCAGTGTGAAGGCATTGGGTTCAATCCCCAGTGCCCACAAAATACTGTAAGCCTAGACAAGACTTTCTTCTTAGAGCTACAAGGGCAATGATCTAGGATAAAAAGTAGTGAAATAGAGGCCAGGGATTTAGCTCAGTGGTTCCGCCACCTGCCTTGCAAGCAGAAGGATCCGAATTCGATCCCTGATACCAAAAAAAAAGTAGTAGAATAAAGTGAATGACTTTGAGGATTTCTGTTTAACACCTTGATTAGCACCTGTCTTTGTTAAGTGACTATAATTCGTATCTATATACAGATTAATATAACGTAAATTAAACTCCAGAGCCAGAAACAAGAGCATAAATGATGGGTCCCACTCCTTTTCAAGCATCAAATCACAGGCAGTTATCTGCATAATCAAATGGTATTCAGGTATGAAGTTTAGAATTTTTAATTTGGTGTTTATTTCTGACTCAAAGAATTAAGTATAGTAAGTACTTGTTTGAGTACATTATCTTTGCATTTAAAATGTAAGATATTTGTTGTATTTGAGAAATTGGTCCTTTTGGTAGAAGAAAGGGTATAGTGGCACATACGTCGGGACTAAAGACTGAACAAAGCTCACAGAACGTTTCATGTACTAAATAATTCCACTGTTTAACATTAATAGAATTTTAGTATCAATTTGATTATAAGTCAAGCAATGTACAAAGATCTTACTGTTCAAATCAGAGAACTGTGTTTAGGTCTATGTAGAATTAGAATGATTAACAGTCACCACTGTATCACGAAAAATTGTGTCAACAAATATTTCTACCCCAAATTACTGGGCAGCTTTGCCCTATTCTTTACATGTTGTTTTTGTAATTCAGTGGTATAGCTCATTTGATTAATTGAATTGTGAATAATTATTTGGGGGGAAAATTGTGATCAGACCTCTAGATAGAAAAAAATATGTAGAATATATATATGTGTGTATATATATATATATATATATATTTTTTTTTTTTTTGTACTGGAGATCCAACTCAGGACCTTGCACTTGCAAGGCAGGCAGCAGCACCACTGAGCTAAATCCCGGCCCCCCCAAATTATGATAGATTTGCTTGACCTTGCAACTTTATTTTCTACCTTATATTCTGTGCAAATTTCATAAATCAGTTCTTTTATACAGACTTTACTGGTCATTATGTATTTTAATTCTTCTGGCACTATTCATCTTTTTGTCAGGTGCTCTCTTGATTTCTGTGTATTGATTTCTTATCCTGTCTGCTGACCTTGTGGTTACTTCCCTTAAAAACTGAATCATAGGGCCAGGGATTTAACTCAGTGGCATAGTGCCTGCCTGGCAAGCCCAAGATCCTGAGTTTGATCCCCAGTACAAAAAAAAACAAAACCGAATCCTAAATGTTAAAACTAGTAAATTAACTATGCATGTGATTCAGGAAGGAAAAACACTAAGTACAAAATTTTGACCAGTTTCTGAACAGAATGCCTTGGGAGATAATGTTCTCTAACAAGATTAAACTGATACAAATGTACTATTATTTGCTGAGTTATCAGTATATAACATTACCTTGGGTTTTCTTTTTTGTCATAAATCTGTTTTTAAAAAGTTTCGAGACACCATTCCTCTAACTCATTTCCAATATGTAGAGTTTGAAGGAAGGAATGTTCCTTTATAATGTGGTATCTTCAAACACTACCAGTAACTGAAGAAAGGGGAAGGGGCAGCTTAGGTTATTGGGAGGAGAGAGCCAAAGATCAGCCAGATATAAGAAATCAAAGATGAAGAGGTTACATAGTTAGATTCTAAAATATGAACTGAATGTCAAGGACTGTATCTTTGTATATTGATAACTTTGGTTAGTAGATACTCAGTATGTGCTGTTGAGTAAGCAGTGATATGATTGCTAGTCACTTAGCAAATTCTTCAATACCTGTTTCCCTCACTCCTAATATAAGTTTCTGGTTGCAGTTGCTTACATCTTTCCCTTTCTACCATCACTGCTCTGCTTCAACACATTTCTGTTTCCTAAATGATCTTACTTCTTTTCTTTGAAAGGTTAGACTCCACACAACCATCAGGATTATTGGTCTCAAACTCACGTATTAATCACTCTCTAATTTAAAAACCTGCAGTAGCTTCTCATTATAATCAAAAGTCCAGAATCTTCAGCATTGCATTCAAGACTTTTTACAGTCTCTAACTTGTTATCCCACCATTCCCTTCCACATGATAGCCATACTATATTACTCAGAGTTCCCTAAAACCTGCTATGGATTAGTGCCATGCCCCTCCCCATATTAAGCTGTTTCTTTTTCCTCTCCTGTAAGCTCCAACTAGAATATGCCTTCTTTTTTCTGAAGTTTTCCTCACTTAGGTCCCTTTCACTCCCAGCAGAAAGAATGGTTCCCTCTTCTGTGTTTCCCATATGCGTTCATTATTCCTTCTGTTAAATCTCTTTTCCACTCGTACTGTAGATTGCCTTTGACAAATGGAATCCTTGTAGGTGCTAATTTGTCCTGATATCATTCACTTAGTAGACTACCTGGCATATACAGTACAATATACAGTACATTTTATTTAATCTTCACAACCAATGAAGTTGCTGCTACACTTGGTACATATCCCAATTTTATAAATAAGTAAAGTTGGCTGAAAAGGCCTCACAGATAGTATAAGACGAAACTTGAACCCCAGCTTAGATTAATCTGTCTCCTAAAGCCCATACTCTTTTTTTCCTTTTTTTCTTTTTTCACTTTTCTTTTTTAGGTACCGGGAATCAAACCCAGGGCCTTGTGCTTGCAGGGCAGGTGCTGCACCGCTGGGCTACATCCCCAGCCCAAGCCCATACTCTAAACCATTTTGCTTCATTTCTCTCTCCACACCTGTGTATCCTCGGTACCTGTTCTTTAGTAGATACTCTGTAAGTGCTTACTGACTGAATGAATATAACTCTAGTTCTCACAGTAGTTTATGGCAAACCCATAGTACAGTTTTCATTGGAACAAAGAGTGTACCATTCATAAAAGTTTTTTTTTTAAAAAAAGTTTAGATCTTCAAAACACATACAAAATTCAGTATATTCATGACTGGGTCATAGCAGTGTTCATCTAGAGTGAAAAAAGCTTCAGTGTACAGGTACAGGTAGCTTTTACAACACACAGATAGCATGGCAATGTAAAGCTGTAAAAGTTTCAGTTGACTTCTAGGAGACCACTGCTCCTCACTTCTGCCTGGATACACTGACAAGTTGGGTAGTCTCTGAACTCTGACTGACACAACACATTGCTGTGCTGGCCAGATGTACATACATTCTGAGATGAAGTGCAATGAGTAGAGGAATTGTTATGCTTAGCAAAAGAAAGGTTGCGTTTGCAAAACAGAAAAAGTGTGAGTTTTTTTGGTTTGAGGGGGGTTGGTACCAGGGATCCAACTCAGGACCTTGCACTTGCAAGGTGCCCCTGAGCTAAATCCCTGGCAGCACAGTGTGTTTTTTAAATCTGTCAGGTTGAAAAATACTTTAAATGCCACATCATGTACTCACACCCATGAATACAGAATCAATTATGTTTCATCTTTAGTTGTCTTTAAGGATCAAATAATATGTCAGAATGTAACATTTAACACTTAAAAGTCATGAGAGTGGATGTTAGAAATAGTGATTTTAGCTGATCTTTCATTCTGTCTGATTTTCCTTACAGACTAAAATATAGTATAGATTGTTCTTTAACATTTTGTTTTTGTTTTTCTAGTGTTGTTAATAACGATACTTGTAGTGGAAGGGATCGCTGTGGCTCAAAAGACCCAAGGTAAAGTACTTACATTGATAACTTCCTGCATGTTCATAACAGTGGGATAGCTTATTTAAGAGAGGATTGCAACTTTTGAATACTATATCCACAATCCTTCTGGGGTGTTGCAGTGACCAAAGGCTTTTATATCAACCTGTCAGCCTCAATTTAACTGGGCTTAGCTGCAGTTACCTAGAGTAAATTGTCAACATAAATTTTACCCTTTAAGTTTAAAAAAATTGGCATTACTGGTAACTCCTACAACACTGGATTATGTCCAAAAATTAAATGAGATTCGTGCTCTATCACAAAAAAGAATTTTAAAAATGTCTTTTCCCAGTGTAAAGAAATGAAGCATTTTTATCAATGTATTATTCAAAGCCCCTTGGTCTTATTCTAATTGTTCTGATTTATGAAAAAAGATTAATGAATGTGAATTTTGAGCCAGATTTTAATGTTAAACTATATTACACTATTTTCACAAAAGTTACATATACAAGTGATAAAAATTAAAGTGTACTAAATAATCAGGAAAAAAATGATTTCCCATCCTAGTCTACTCCCCTATTTAGTCCATGGAAATAACTGCTTTTTGTTGATTCTTTTGATATTGTCATAGGTGTGGTGGCACACACCTGTGAGGGAGGCTGAGGCAGGAGGGTTGTCTTGTGTTCGAGGCCAGCCTGGGCTCCACAGTGAGTTCAGGGCCAGCCTGAACTACATAGTGAGATCCTGTCTCAAGAGAGAGAAAAAAAGATTGTTTTTCCTATCTTTGAATAACATGCTATGCTGGTATTTCTTGACTGTCAGTTTTAGACATTAGATTCTGATTTCTTATGGAATATGAGAACTTAGCTCTTTCATACACCTACTATCCACCCCCATTGACATACAAATGTTCTCTTTGCATTTGCACTACCCTTCTCAGTATAGTTATATCACAATTCGAATTAAATCGGTACAGAGCCACTCATCAGTCTCCATTTTTCCTGTTCTGCATTTTCAGTGATTCCTAGTATTTGGTTATGGCCTTTTTTTTTTTCCCCACCTCTCATTTTGCTCCATGTTCTAGGACGCTTTCTCAAGTTGATATCCTCTAAATGAAATTTAGGAAACTCTCTGTAAAGGATCAAATAATAAGTATTTACATCATTGCAGACCACACACTCTGGAATATCTTCTCAGTTCTTCTGCTGTGGTGTGAAAGTAGCTGTAAATGATATACAAATAATTGTCATGGAAATATCCCAGTAGAACTCTCTGTGCAGCCACAGGTCAGCTTGGCCCAGGACCTGACCTCTGCTCTAACGTGTAATTTTTTAATTTCTTCCACTTTGTGGAAGCACTCTTATTTTCTGAATATGCTTTTTAAAAGAGTATCCTTATTTTATGGATATACTTTTTTGTCCGAGATTAAATGAAATATCTGGAATGTGCTATTACTCGTTTTTAAATGGTTTTTATACATAGTCTGTTTCCTTGGAGTTACTTTATTTGTTTTTGCTTGGATATGTTTTTCATATTATAGTCTTTCCTTAAATGTCTGCTCCTATCTCAAGAGGGACACTGAAAGTTAGTTTTCTGAAGTAGATAATATCTGTTTGCTATGGCCCCACAGTCAAATCGCTTGACACTGGGGAGCCCCTAAGTATGTATTGTTGAGTCTTTCTCAGGGCTAAAAGACTCCCCAGAAAAGCAGCTTTCCATTTCCTGTTTAGAGATTCCCTCACCCCGAGGCCTTTGCCAAATTCAGTAGGAGAGGTTTTGACATATCATTCAGTAATACTCACCATTGTCCCTGTTTTCAGGTTAGTATTTTCACACTCAGCTGTATCTGGTGTCCTCTAGTCCAGTAACCCTATTTTACTTTCTCCAGTTTTCTGATAATAGAGCAGCAGCTGCCTAGGTTTGATGGAGAAGGGAAGGGTATATGAAACCAAATAGGCTATAAACAGGTTTTTAACCAGACTCGTGTGTTTTGTTTTGTTTTGTTTTTAGACTCATGTTTTTTATAAGGCCAGTTTTATGTACAACCCCTCACAATATTTCTAGTAATGGTAGATGTTGCTATTAGATCTACTTCTTTGTACTTATGGATAGATACCTTAAAAAAGAAAATTCCAATCTTGTTTAAGTAGAATTTGACAAAAGAACAGAGCTAAATGTATGTTCAACTATAATCTTTAAAATCCCTCTGTAATCTTTAATCTTATTTAACTTTTGTGTTAAACTAAGTATAGATACCATAATAACCCCACAGATCCTTTTATTTTTATATCAGAATAGAACTTTATTAGATTTTACTGATTTATCAGATTCTCCCATATTTTTGCCCTTGTAAAATATAAGCATTTTATTTCCTAATTCCCTTATAGGAATAACCAACCAACTTGTCCTCTAGCAGTAAGTTTTTCCAGCAAGCAGTTTATAGATTATTTTTTTACTTCTGCTGTACTCAATTTGTTATGCTAATTTTGGCATTGGTTCTAATAAATTTTGTGTGTGTGTGTGTGTGTGTAATAGAGTGGGCAATTGTTCGGAAAGTTGTGAGGGAAAGAGAAGAATGCTATTCTCTTTTGTAGTAATTATGTTTTAGATGCTGTTTTTTCCCTAGATGGACAAAATATTGGAATCAAGCACATGCCTGCAACTCAGTGTGGCATTTGGGTTCGAACCAGCAATGGAGGTCATTTTGCTTCACCAAATTATCCTGATTCATATCCACCAAACAAGGAATGTATCTACATTTTGGAAGGTATTTGACCACTTAACTTTCTTTCATTGGATGAATTTTTACTTTATTGTAAAACTAACTGCATTTGTAAAATTTCATTTAAAGCAGTTTGAAAATAAACATATATTTTGAATTAAATTCTAATAATACCAAATATTTATAAATATTAACTACATTAACAAAGTGATATTTGAAACTTAATGGAGTTTTGAATCTCTAAAAATAAAATTCAGTTAAGTGCGTCAGTATATATGAGAAACTTCTTTTTTTTTTTTTCTGGTACCAGGGATTGAACTTGGGTCCTTGCGCTTGCGCAGCAGGCGGCAAAACCAGTGAGCTAAATCACCGGCCTGAGAAACTTGTGATAAAGACTTAAAGTTACTAGGATCTCTTACCAGGCTTTATACAAATTTTTGTACACTTTAGTAGCTCTTTTCATTTGTTCTATTTATCTTTTTGTGTATCATGATACATTTTATCTCATGAACTCAGTAAATATTAGCTTTTCAACACTTCAGTTTTAATCAAGTACATTTAATAAATAGTTTATGCCGAAGGAAGGTTATCCTATTTCTACAGAGTAGCATTATTATTAATGTAAAATGTGACATTTATGATGAATAATTCCCATTATGATCCTCATCTATGAAGCATTAACAGAGCAGTAGTTTTGATTTAATCATTGGTGTCAGTATATTGGTATGTTTCTTATTCTTGTTGTCCTAATTTGCTTCCTCTTTTTTTATCAGCTGCTCCACGTCAAAGAATAGAGTTGACCTTCGATGAACATTATTATATAGAACCATCATTTGAATGTCGCTTTGATCACTTGGAAGTTCGAGATGGGCCATTTGGTTTTTCTCCTCTTATAGATCGCTACTGTGGCATGAAAAGCCCCCCATTAATTAGGTCAACAGGGAGATTCATGTGGATTAAGTTTAGTTCTGATGAAGAACTCGAAGGACTGGGATTTCGTGCAAAATATTCATTTATTCCAGGTAAAGAATAAGTTATCTTTTCAGTGGTTGAGCATTTCTGATTTTAGAATCTTAAGGACAGAATAGAGAAAATTTGACAAAGTTAATCAAATCAAGACATTAAAGAAATTATCAAGATCAAAAGGAAATAGTATATGAACAAATAAATAAAAATTGGAAATAGAACTATATCATTTAAATTTTGAGCATATCATGTGATATATTTTCTCAGTTTTAAAATATATTTTACAGCACATACTTAAGGCCAATAACATCAAAATAAGTGTATTTTTAAAAATAATTCAAGGGCCAGGCACGGTGGTACATGCTTGTAATCCCAGCACTCAGGCAGAGGCAAGAGGATCACTGCAAGTTCAAGGGCAACCTAGGTTACATAGTGAGTTCAAGGCCAGCCTGCCCTACAAAGCAAGACCCTATCTCAAAAATCCAAAATAATAATAATAATAATAATTCAAGGTGCGCCAGAATGTAGCTCAGCAGCATAGTGCCTGCCTGGCAAGCAAAAGGCCCTGAGTTCAATTACCCAAACAAAAAAATAATAATAATTCAAGGGCTGGGCATGGTGGTTCACACCTATAATCCCAGCACTCGGGAGTCTGAGGGAGGAGAATCTCAGGCTAGCCCTGAGCTGCATAGTGAGTTCAGGGCCAGTCTGAACTACATAGACCCTGTCCCCCAAAAAAGAAAAAAATCCAATATATTGTCTGGTTTTCACAGTGCCCACAAAAATTATTTTGGCAGGTTTATTTCATTTGGCTGATTGAGGTAACCACTTATTTGAATGAAAATATTGATCAATTGAACAAATACTGCTCTCTATTTAGAGGTAAAAGATCTGGATTTGAGTCCTTTCTCTGCTGCCTAATAGCTATAAGACTTAATCACAGAGTTGTGACTGAGATTTGCCATTGGGACAATGGTAACAGCTACTATTTTAGTAAAATGATTATACTGTTATACTGTATTTGCTAAGACTGAAAAGCCTGGTGACTTAAAACAATAGAAACATATTTTCTCATAGTTCTGGAGGTCAGAAGTCCATATTCCAGTAGGGCCTCACTCACTCTTAGGACTCTAGAAGGGAATCTGTTGTCTCGTCTAGTTTCATATTACTCCAGTCATGGCTTCAGTCTTCACATCTCTTTCTCATCTCAAATCCTTACCAATGACATCTTTTCCCTTCTAATGTAATATTCACTCTTTTTTTTAACTAGGCAGTGATGGCAAACCTATGACACACATGCCGCGGTGGGCTGTTTGTTATCATTGAAAACTCTGAAAGGTTTGCCATCACTGATGTACGGTAATATTCACAAATGTAGACATATTCGGTGGGAAGTTTTTGGCCTACTGCATTATTATACACCTGCCTCCTATACTATTTTACCTTCCTCCTGTTAGTTGTAGGACACTGAGAACTCTCTGAGAACTATAAAACCCTACCCAGTGTAAAGTATAGGTATCCCAAATATAAAAACAAGTTGTCATTACTGTGTCCAAACAGATTACAGACTTAACAAGATAAAAATATTTTGAAAATGGAATAACTATATAATCCTTTTTGCTTTTATTTACTTATAAGAAATTTAATTGAAAAAAATTAAGTCATACCCAAATAAAAAGAAAGTACTGTATTCATAATCTACCGCCCTTTGTATAAAATCAGTGATAGTTTGGTGTTTGTCCCTTCAGGTGTTTTTCTGCTTAGTTTTTACATACACCTTTATTACCTGTTTTTTTACCTGAAAAATACGAGTGACTCTTTATGGAAATTGTGAAGTTTTGGTTCTTGCAGACTTATTAGGGAAGAGGAACGGGAGCTGAGGAGGGAGAGAAAAGGGAGGAAAAGAGGAGTAGTAAGAGGGTGGACTCAGTACATGCATGTATGGAAATGTCACAGTGGAACTCATTTGTGTAGTTAATATAATTGGATAATTTTAAAAATAAAGTTTTTGTGCCAATATTTATCTGCTAAATGCTAGGACATTTTGAAAAAATAAAATTTATCTGATAGATGTAATTTTATACAGCAATTTTAGGTTCAGCAAAATTGCACAAAGTAATCATATGCCTCCTCCTTCCCCTACTGCCATAAATGTGCACCCAAGTAGTACATTTGTCATAATCAGTGAACCAACAGTGAATGACCGTCATTATCACTCAGAGCCCACAGCTTATGTGAGAGTTCACTCTTGATACTGTATGTTCTGTGAATTTTGACAAATGCTTAATGACATGTGTCCTCCATTATACAAAACTTATACAACAGTTCCATTGCCCTAAATTTCCCCTGTGCTCATCCTGTTCATTCCTCAGTCCCTCCCCCTAAACCATTGGCAGCCACTGATGTCTTTATGTCTACATAGTTTTACCCTTTTCCAGAATGTAAGGTATAATTGGAATCATACAGTGTTCAGCCTTTTCAGGTTTGTTTCATTCACTTAAACCCATGTACGTGTAAGATTCTTTCATATCTTTCAGGGTTTTAAAAAATGTTTTATTTTTATTAGTACATGTTTGTAGTACATAATGAGTACACTCATCATAGTCCTCCATGTCCTTTTGTGACTTGACAGTTCATTTTTTAAGCACTGAAAACACTTAATTATCTGAATGTAACACAGTTTGTTTTTCTGTTCTATTGAAGGATATTTTGGTTGCTTCCAGGTTTTAGCAATTATGAGTAAGGCTGCTCATAAACATCTGTGCAGGGTTTTGTAAGGATGAAATTAACTGATTTGGGTAAATGCTGTTACATTTTACACCATGGATGAACTTGAGATATGCTCAGTAAAATTGGTAGAAATGAAAGGACAAATATTGTATGGGTCCATTTAGATAGGTGTTAAATTCACAGAAACAAAGCAGAATGGTAGTTACTGGGTCACCTAGAGGAAGAGAGGAATAAGAGGAATAAGGAAGTAGTCATTAATGGGTACAGACTTTCAGTTTGGGATTTTTTTTTTTTTTTGGTACCAGAGATCGAACTCGGGACCTTGCATTTGCGAGGCAGGCGCCGGAACCACTGAGCTAAATCCCCGGCCCGGGATTTGTTTTTAAGTGCTGGAAATAGTGGTGATGGTTGTATAACATTTTGAAACCCACTGACCTGTACACTTAAAAATGGTTAACATGGCCCATTTTGTGTGTCATTTCTCAAAACTAAAAAGAAGTAGCTAGTAACTTCTTTTTTCCCAATGGCAAGGAAAAGAAAAATGACTATGTGATAACACAAGATATTCTTCCCTGTAAACTAGTTCACAGAAGTTTGAGAACCAATAGTTTATATTAAAATAACTGATGTGATAAAATTGGTCAGTTATTTGACTTTTATTAACTAAATCAATTAACTGAATTGATGCTTTTTTGTGTCCTAAAGACACTATTACAAAATCTTACACAAGTTAAATCTTTACAAGTAAGTTTAGACTGTTTGAAAGAAAAAGACAACAAAAACGGTGCTCTTTTTTGGGGGCGGGGGTCGTTGTACGGGGAATGAAACTCAGAACCTCACACTTGCCAGGCAGGCACTGTGCCGCTGAACTAAATCCCCAGCCCTGTTCTTGTTTGAATAATATTTTAATTTTTAATAATATTTAATTTTTAAAAATCAGCCAACCTCAAAGATTCTTACTTTGACCAAAAGTAGTAGCTCCTTTTCAAACTCTTAGTTGTATATATTATGAGATTCAAACTCTCAGTTGTATATATTATGAGAGAAACTTTATGATGGTTAGGTAGTTAAAATACAGACAAGTTATAAAATCTTAGGATTTCTAGACTTTTACCTTTTATTTATACTTGATAGTGCTTCAGAATTTCTATATATATATATATATATATATATAGTATTTAATTTTATCCTAGTAGTGTCAGCAGGATTATGTAATATCCTTTTATCTAGGTGAGGAAACGTAGTAAGAGAAGAAGTGATTGTCTTTTACAGTGACAAACCCAAGACTAGATTCCGGTTCTCTAGGGAACTTTTTCTGCTCTGTTATGTAGCCTTTGTAATGTACTGAGGATTCTGCAGAGTGATTGCTAAATGAAAAAAAAACACTTTGTGTTAAAATAAATAGGTAAGCATAATTATCTGCTGTTACTTAAAGTCATGTTTATAGAATAAATTTTATCTAGAGAATGATACATTAGGAAAAAACCAATTGATGGTGAAAAGTTAGTAACTGGGATAATTAGGGCAATTTTATTAGTGCAATAATAATAATATCTTGAAATTCTTGCCTATGTATGGAAAAAATCTGATTAATTTTCCAGATAGCTAGTATGACCCCCACCCCCCATGCCATTTAGGATTTAAATCTTTTTGACATTTCTCTGCAAAAGAGTTATCCCCTTTTAGAAAAGAGAAGTTTAAGTTTAAAAAGGATAGTATCTGAGATGTATTCTAAATTTAGTAATTTATTTCCATTTTCCCAATTTGTAATTTGATAACTTTATAAAGTATATCAAGTTAAAGACAGTTTTAACAAGAACAGAGCATACTGTTACATACAGTAAACTGTGTGAAATAAGTTTTCTAGACTAAGGATTCTGAGGCATTTGAGACTACCCAGCAGTTTTTTCATTCTGGCAATTTGGTATATTCAGGTTCTATCTGAACTTTGAAATAAATTTTTTAAGACACCCATGTTTATAACTTTTAAAAACTTACTTTTATTGTGGTAAAATTTATATCACATAAGATTTACCTTTTAACCACTTTTAAGAATCTAATTCAGTATTATTAAGTGCATTCACAATGTTTGGCAACCATCACCACTACCCACGTAAGCAAAAAAAAAAAAATTGTTAGTATACGTTTCACCTGATTGCATACTTTGTGGGTAGTTAGCTCACGTATGTGACACATCTTAATTCTTTTTACTTCCCCATCCCCATTTCTTGGTCCCCTTCCCATGTGCAAAAGATACATCTCCCTGTTTCCTGTTTTTTATTATTTTATTTATTTATACTTTGGGTTTCTCATATAAGAGAAACCAGGCCATATTTAAGCTTGTGTGTCTGACTTATTTAATTTAACATTATGGTTTCAAGGTTTAAACAAAAACTTTAAAAGACAAATATTAATATGATTCAGCAAAAAGAAATTTCACTTCTTTATAAAGCTGAATAATCCACTGTTGCATAAGACCACATTTTATCTAACTGTTCATCTCTTAGTGGACTAGCTACTATTTTTGATAGTTGATAGCATAAATTTGGTATTAGGAAGTATAAACATTATCATTACATAAATGTTGATCCTATAAGCAAGTTCATACTTGACTAGTGACATGTAATCTACATCTATAAAAAGCTTTTTTTACATTGCTGTTAAATGAAGCTTTGACATATCTTAAAATGTTAAGCCTTAAGATATCTGTGCCAATGACTGTCTTCTTTTTTCTGTTACAGATCCAGACTTTACTTACCTAGGAGGTATTTTAAATCCTATCCCAGGTTTAGTATATTACCTCTTTTTCCCCGTGGCATTTTTGATCAGTTTTATTTTCCTTTGAACATCATTCATTTATTCTTTCTAGATTGCCAGTTTGAGCTTTCAGGAGCTGATGGAATAGTGCGTTCTAGTCAGGTAGAACAAGAAGAGAAAACAAAACCAGGCCAAGCAGTTGATTGCATTTGGACAATTAAAGCTACACCAAAAGCTAAGGTATTGCTATGTATTGAGTCATTTCAAAGAACATAATACAACATGGCTTGTATAATTGTTATTTTTTGTTTCATGGCAATATTTATTGAATATATAAATTAAGATTATAGCTTAAAAATTAGCCAGGTACAATGGAATATTCCCATAATCTCAGTTACTTGGTGGAAGCAGAGGCAGTAGGATCATGAGTTCTAGGTCAGCCTGGGCAATGCAGTCTAACAAATAAAAAAGGCTCCTTAAAACCAAGTCATGTCTTCTTGAAGGTCACAAAGTTGGTTATAACAGTGCAAAACATAAACACATTGACAGGATACAAAATCAACATTAAAAAGTCAATAGTTTTTCTGTGTACCAATAATGAACTAGCTGAAAAGGAAATCAAGAAACAGTTCTGCTTACAGTGGCTTCAAAAGATATAAATATGTTAAGCCTGCCTCTGTGTTCTTACTGTTCAGCATGTAGAGCTGCTGACTATATTGAGCTTTTATTGGAAAGTACTACAGAGAAACATTTTTAAATCATTATGACAGATTGAGATTGGTTGCTATTTTTTGCTTTTAATTTATATTTCTAGGAATATCAACAGTTAAAAATTTGTTTTAATGTGTATAAGGGCTGATTGACAAATACAGTGAATGTTTAAATTTTTTAAAACTTAGTGCAGTGAAAGACACATTGCCAAGTACAATGGGATAAGCATGTTTGAAGTGAAGGGAAATATTTTGAGGAGGATTATTTAAACATTCATTATATTTTTTGGTCATCCCACATATGTTTGTGAAGAGAAAGAGAAAAGAAGAGAGAATGTACTTAAAGGAATCATGAAAAATCAGGTTTATGGTTGTGGTAATATGATAGATTAGATAACCACAAATCCCACCAGGTTAACAAGCACTTAGAAACATTGAGTAAAATATAACAAGTATCCTTATAAAAGCATATGTAAGCTCCAAAAAAGTGGGTAATTCTTATGTACAACAAATGAAGAAAGATAATTATAAATTAGAGCAATAAGCTGAAATTGATATTACAAATGCCCCTAGTTAATTTCAATAGCCTGTTAATGCCCAGGTGTAAACATACCAGAAGCTTGGATACCCACACTGAGGTAAAAAAAAGAAAAAAGGCTAGGGCTCATAAGACTTCCTTAAATAAAGCCATAGTCATCAAAAAGAATTTGATTGACATGAATGGGTAAATTAGGAAAAAAATTACACTAACACATGTCACTGATAAGGAAACATGTTTTTCTGGGTTTGTTCCCTGGGTGGGGGTGGAGGTGAACTGGGGTTTCCTCTAACACTGTATATACCTAGGAACTTGCTTTTGGATTTGGGATATGAATTTATATTTCATGTTCAATCTGGGAACCACTAAGCCCAAAAATTAACAAAATGGTCATAAACTCATAAAACCTTTGAGGCACTTAACAAAAATAAACCCAAAATGACCCATGAGGCTTCAGGTTTAGCACTGATAAATCACCACTGAAAAACCTCAGAATCCAAATTAGAAAACATCTGTGCTCACAGTCCACCCATCAGGTAAGAGCAGACCAACGGGAAGAAGTTTCTTCGTCCTCTAAGAACTTAAATGTATTAATTATCTTGCAAGAAACAAAAAGGTGAGAAAGAAAATGACCAGATTTTTAAAATAATCAAATGGATCTATAAATAAAACATACTGCTATTAAAAGATCTCAAGAAGTCTGATGTGGTGGCACACGACTGTAATCCCAGCCTTCTGGGAGATTGAAGCAGGAGAGTTGAAAGTTTAAGCCCAGGTAAATTGCTGGAAGAGATTTGGATCTGAGGAATTTTGAAGTTGTCATTATTTGTCCATAATTCAAGTGGAGATAAAAGAATTGTGGCAGGACAGGAAAAAAAGGGCTTTGTTGAAGACAGCCTCATTAAGGTCACCTTGATGAATATTGAAGGAATTACATGTGAAATTCCTTAAGTACAACTCTATTTAATTTTTGCCCCACTCCAAAAAAAAAGTTTTAACCCGGCCTGGGGAACTTAATGACTTAAGACCTTGTCTCAAAAATATTTTTTCAAGTGCTGGGATGTATCTCAGTCCAAAGGCCTCAGGTTTAACTGCCATTAATCCCCTCAAAAAATGATTAATACCAGAACTATTAATGGCAAAATAGAAGCCCAAAGACAATAGGATAATATCTTCAAAGTGTTGACCAAAAAAATGACTGGTGACCTTAACTTATCACATCATTAATTATCAATGAATCAATCACTTAATCACATAATTATCAATTAATTTTTAACTTAATTTTTTATATATTTATATAATTTGTAAATAATAAAGTTATATAATTATATCACTTTATAGAAAATGTGTGTCATATACAAAATTATACTCTCGAAAAGCTGTGTAGTTTAGAGAAAAGAGCCCTCAACTTTAGAGCCAGTAGTTCTTATTCTGTCTCTACTTACTAGCTACCTGGGAAGATAACTTAACTTCTGAACCTTAATTTCATTATCTAGAAGTAAATTTATATAATTGTTACAATTTCATGATCTGTAAACTGATATTTTCCTTGCTTACCTCACAAGGTTGTTGTGAGGATCAGATGAAGTCATGTACATAAAAAAACATTTAATAAAATGTGCAGTACAGACCAAAAAGTCATACAGATTGAAAAGGAAAAAAATAAAAGCTTTTTATGTGATGTGATTGATTGTTTATATTTAAAATTTCCAAAAATCTACCTAAAAATGCTCCTGGAACAAATAAGTATTTAGCAAGGATACAAGATCAACAATTTATTGTATCAGTGTATACCTGCAGTACCCACTGGAGTTCAAAATTAAGAAAACGGTACCATTTAAAAAATCACTCCCCATTAAAAAGTATACATATCATCTGTAAACTGAAAATGTGTGGAACCCTGATGGAAAAATCCAAAGACCAATCCAAATGAGAAGATGCACCAGGCATGTGTTTTGATGGTCTCTGCAATACTAAATTTCATTTCTTCCAAAGTGGATCTATATAGTTGAAGACAATTCCATCAAAATCTCTGTTATATTTTTGTAAACATTATGAAACTAATTTAGAACTTAATGTATAGACAAGAGTTATAAAACCCAAAATAATTTTAAAAAAGAATAAAGGTAGAAGACCGATCCCTTGATTTCAAGATTTACTATGAAGCTTCAGTAATCAAGACAGTGGTATTGACAAGAGGACAGACACAGATCAGTGGAAAAGAAAAAAGAACCCAGAGATGAGATTTGTGCAGTATGGTTAATTGGTTTTAACAAATAAAAGACAGCTCAATAGGGAAAGGACAGTCTTCAACAGATAGGAATGGAGCAATTTTATATCCACATGGGAAAATTTAAAAAGAACCTTCACCTATATGTAATACCTTATACAAAAATTGAAGCAGATCATGAACAAAAATGTAAAATTATAAAGTATTTGGTAGAAAATAAAGTTTTCTCTGTGAAAGATGCCAGAAAGCCAAACTCAAGAATACAAACACAGCCCAGTGTTGTGGTGATGTGGTGCTGGTGGTTTGTGGGTGGGTGAGTGGACAAGTTGGTTGGTTGGTTGGTTGGTTGGTTTTGCAGTACTGGAGAGCAGCCCCAAGGGCTCATACATGCTACGCAAGTGCTCTTGTCACTGAACTACATTCCCAGCCCCAGTGGCTAAATGAGCAAACACTGATTTTGTCTAAGACATTTAGAGAAGAAAGTTAAAGGCTACCATAACACTTGAATACCCAAGAAGTAAAGTAGTTAATGCATGATATTCAAGGAAAATGTGCAAAGAACTTACATAAATACACAAAAGGAGATTATTAAAATACACTTATACAAAAAAACCCCACACTTATACAGAAGTGTTTACGAGTATACAAGTGGTGTTTTCATTTTCATCAGTGCCCTTTCCATAATTGGAATAGATTTCCAGGACTTCATGTCGTTTTTGTTGGGGGTCTTCTCAGACTCCAAATAAATGGCAGCCCTTTTTCCCACTTGAGTTCTGAACCAATTGGGAAAAGTATCTGAATCATTTGTAAAAACCCAGTGTATGGAGATCCAAAGTAGTTCCTTTTATAGTAAACTAAGGCTAGGTGAGGGAAATCAGCTTAGTGAGACTGTCAGGTGTCTTGCTAAGGCCCTACCCACTGGTTTCACCTTAAGACAAGACCAGACCAAGGAAAGTTACCCAGATTTGTATTTGTATATACCTATCCAGGGAAGGAGACCAAACTCCCCATGATCCTGGTAACTTTCCACCTCCCTGTTTGGGATATAGGGGTAGGATAAGAGATCAAGAACATTTAAGGGCCCAGGATTTAGCTCAGTGGTTTCGCCGCCTGCTGCACAAGCATAAGGACCCGAGTTTGATCCCCAGTACCAAAAAAAATGAAGAAAATTTAGTAAGAGATGTCTTTTCATACCATCTGAAATAAGAGTACTTTGTACCCTTCCTTCCACATTTCATCTCATTCATGTTGCTAAGAATATTTTCTAAAAATTGGTTGAACTAAGCAACTAGAATATTTAGTTGTATTTACAACAGAAATGTTATATGGTCATGACTTACCTTTAGCTCTTGAATTGAAAATAAAAATGACTTTGAAGAGCATTTACTGTAGGCTTGTACAGAGCTGTTTCTTTGTATTTTAAAAAAAGCAGAAAGTAAGTAACTTCAAACATTTTGACCATTTTGCTGATATTTAGTTCTACCAATTTATAGTTTTACAAACCTAGCCGTTTAAGACTTGCTGTAAGCAGTAATGATACTAGGTAAGATTTAGCAAAATATTCTCTCATTGGAAGACCTTAAAATCTAATTGAGAGAAAAATATGTATTATTTGCCACCATAGAACCATGAGCAAAGTGTTTTGGCTACATACATAATGCAGAAATTAGTGAGAAGTAGTGATATGTTTACAAAAACATGCTGCCTAAAGGTTAAAATATATATGCAGAGGTTTTGTAACATTTGGAGTGGAAAATCTATTTCATTACCTATTTCCCACCATTCTTACGGAAAATGGAAAACTGGTCATTTCAAATAACTTAAAGTTAGTCAAAATTTGAGCTATATTTTTAATTGCATTTAGTTTTATGCCATCAAAGCATTTTAGAAGGGAAACATATGTGACTTGACCTTTTTGTTTTACTAAGCCCTTTAAATCAAGAGTAACAGCTAGAAAGTGAGTGCCTATTAAATGTCTTCAGTTGTAATTTAGTGGAAATTTTTATTCTTAGTATAATTTTAGTTGTAGTCACGTATGCACAACTAGTTCTGAAAACAAAATGTGTATGCACAAGGACACATGTAAGGGAACCCATGGAGTGAAAAATACTTTATAGAGTCAGACCAACCTGGGTTCAGATCCTTGCCCTGAATAACCCTGGGCAAGTTCCTGAATCTCTCACCATGATGCAAATACCTGTTTTATTAGTGTGTTCTTTTATAGATTAATGATTAAATTCCTTCTAAACCCACAGTTTGCAGATGTAAAAGATGTCTTTGAACAAGAATGAACCAAATGTATTTTAAGAAATAACAGTGTTAATTAGCAAACTGCCTGTAAGTTTTGAATAAAGAAGACGCTATGGTGCTGACTTTGTCTGAAAGTATAGAAAGTGTTAGGGGTGAATCATAAAAGAACTTAAGTGTGCAACAAGTAGAAAAATGGGTGAGTAAATGAGAGGACATTGTGGGTATGAGTTTGTTATAAAGAGCATAACATTTCTGATATGTTACAGCAAAAGCAGGAAGTATGTGCCTTAGATATCTTCTAAACTTTGATTTTAAAATATATAGAGAAACAAATGAACTCACTATTAAAATAATAAAATTATGAGTGATTCCACTATCAGTACCATGAGATTGCTTTTATAAGGAAAATGTGTAAAGTTTAAAATTTTCTTCTCTTTGTACACAAAAAGTTTATGTTCCATTCAGACAAAGAATCAGACCATTAGTTTTAGATCTTTTAACTACTTAAGTATCAAACTTTTATCTGTTATGTTTTTCCCTCAGCTATTAAAATTCAGTCTGCCATGTTGACCGTGAACATTGAGAAGTGGGGAAAAAAAGGTTTTTTAAAGCATTGTTTTTGTTTTAATTGTACAGATTTATTTGAGATTCCTAGATTATCAAATGGAACACTCAAATGAATGCAAGAGAAACTTCGTGGCAGTCTATGATGGAAGCAGTGCTATTGAAAATCTGAAAGCCAAGTTTTGCAGCACTGTGGCCAATGATGTAATGCTTAAAACAGGAGTTGGAGTGATACGAATGTGGGCAGATGAAGGTAGTCGGCTTAGCAGGTTCAGAATGCTCTTTACTTCCTTTGTGGAGCGTAAGTACATAATTCCTATACTGTTGAGATGTTTTATATACTTTTGACTCATTCACAATATACTCAGTGAGCATTTACTTGTGACTAAAAGGCAAGGTTACAGCATGTAGAAATTAATAACCCTTGGCCCTTGTGAAAAAGCCATGTTAACATAAAAATTGTGACAGCATCACACTTACAGTATTAACAAATGATAGGGATTGCAGAAAGTGGAGACTTAATACTGTCAAGATTTTCTAATTTTAAAATAATGACCAGTAGTAGTATTCAGCTTTGTAATTATTAATCCATCAAACTGTGGTCACCAAAGATTTGAATATTTTTTGAACTTAAAAAAATAACTTTAAACTTACAGAAAGTTGTACAATAGTACAGAATTCCCATATGACCTTTACTCAGGTAATCTTAACATAAACATCTTGCAAAACAAAAATTAAAATTAACATTGATGCAATATTAATTAATCTATAGACCTCGTTCGGATACCACTAGTTTTGCCATTAATGCCTTTTAATGATCTCGTTTCCCACATTGCATTCATTTGTCAAATATCGTTAGTCTACTCCATCTATAATAGCTATTCTGTCTTCCTTGGTCTTCATAATCTTGACATATGGTGAAGAGTACTAACCAGTTATGTAGTAGAATGTCTACCAGTTTGTCTAATGTTCTGTCACAGATTCATTTGAGAATGTGTGTTTCATCAAGAATAGCACAATTATATTGTGCATTTCTCAGTGCATCATATCAGTGAAGTAGGGGCACATACTATTGATTTGTCTTATTGCTAGTGGTATTAACTTTTATCATTTCACGGAGGTGCTGACAGTTTTCCCCAGTATAAAATAGCTATTTCTTTTTCTTTCTGTTTAATAAGTCTAAGATTCTATTCTTTCTGTCACTATTTTAGTATCCACTGATGGATCCTATCTGTAACATCCAAGTTGTTTTAGTTACATCCTCCCTTCTATGTACATTAATTGGAATTCTGCTGAAATCAGAAGAGCTATTTTCCCTTCAGTTGCTTATTCACTTATTTCATCAGTATGAGCTTATGTGTATTTATTTTATTATGCTATAATGTTATAATTCTAGAATATAAACATTATTTTGCTGCTTAAAGCCCAAGCTTTGGCCATGGGAAGCTACTTAGTTTGCCTCCTGTATCTATTCAATGTGCCTAATTATTACTTTTTTATTCACTTACTTTTCAGGCAGCACTGGATGAATCAGGCATAGCTGTGGTTCCCTGCCCCAGCCCTAGAAACAGTCTTATTTCCAAAGAGCCCTTTATCTGTCTTACTCTAAGAAACCTACCTTTATCCAAAATGCACAATTGTATCTATTTGTTCAATCCTAGTATACACATTTGTCCAATCCTAAGATTTGTCAAATTGCCAGCCCTTACATCTGTGGGAAATTCCCTAGCAGACTATTTTATTTATGTACAGTTCTCATTGTTATTAGCCTTATTGTCATGACACACCTGTTATTTAGATTCATTTGCCTCCTTTCTTTGTGGTTATAATATGCACTTAGATTCATTTGTGACTGTTTATATTTTGTTTTGTGTCTTCTGTCACATCTAGTTACTTTAAGCTGTTTTTATTTTAGGGTACTTGGAACATGATTATTGTTCCTATCGAATTCTGCAAAGAGAAATACTGGAAAAATGTCATTGCCCTCTCTTCTCTACTTCAGCCCCATTCTCAATAATTTTCCATTCTCCTCTTTCCCTGCTCCTGGTAACCTCTGTTCTACTTACTGTCTCTGTAAGTAACTCACATAAATGGAATCATACAATATTTTTATGTCTTGACTTATTTCACTTAGCATAAAGATTTTCAAGCTTCATCCTTGTTATAGTATGTATCAGAATTTCAGTCCTTTTTAAGGCTGAATACTATATATATATAACCATTTCGCTTATATATTCATAGATAAACACTTGCATTCTTTTCACCTTTTGGATATTGTGCATAACATTACTATGAACATTGGCATATAAGTTTCTGAGTTCTTCCTTTCAGTTCTTTGCTGGATCACATGGAAAATATGTTTAAATTTTTGAGAAGACAACTGTTTTCTACAGTGGCTGCACCATTTTACATTCCCACCAGCAGTGCATAGAAGATTTCAATTTCTCTATATCCTTACCAACACTTGGGTGTTTTGCATAATTTTTATGATAACCATCCAAATGTATGTAAAGTACTCTCGTTGTCGTCTTTAGCCATTATTATAAATTCTCTGGAGATATGTCTATTCAAGTCCTTCATGCATTTTTTAAATTGAGTCATTTGTTTTTGAAGTTATATGAGTTCTTAATATATATATTGGATATCAGTCACTTATCGGATAACATGATTAGCAGATATTTTTTCCCAGTCTATATGTTCTCTTTTCACTCCTAATAGTCTTTTGACACAACATAAATTGTTCCATTTTGGTAAAGTCCATTTTGTTTTTTATTTTGTTACCTATGCTTTTGGTGTGATATGCCAGAAGTCACTTCCACTTCCAATGTTGTGAAGCTTTTTCTCCATATATTTTCTTCTGAGAGCTTTATAGTTCTAGCTCTTTTGTTTAAGCCATTTGCAGTTGATTTCTGTATATGGTATAGGGTAAGGGTTGGCATCATTCTTTTTCTTATAAATACAGTTTTGTCAGGACCATTTGCTCAAAGAACTGTCCTTTACCCACTGAATAGTCTTGGCACTCTTACCAAAAATCTGTTGACCACACCTATTTTGAAATCTGGAAGTGTGAGTACTCTGACTCTTTTCTCTTTCAAGATTGATTTGGCTATTCTAGTTTTCTTGATTCCATGAATTTTTTGATGGGATCTTCTATTTCTGCAAAAACAACTCCATTGCATTTTGAGGAGAGATCAGCTTTAAATCTGTAAATTACTTTGAGTAGTATTGTCTTCTTACCTACGATAAGATTTCAAATCCTTGAACACAGGATGTCTTCCAATTTATTTGTTGTCTTTAATTTCTTTAAAAGCAGTGTTTGTAGTTTTCAGTTACAAGTCTCTTGACTTCTTCATAAATGTATTCCTAAGTATTTTATTCCTTTTGATGCTGATATAAATGGAAATATTTTCTTAATTTTTATTGTTCTTTATAAATATTTACAAACATGACTAATATTTGTGTATTTGTTTTGCAACCTGCACCTTTGCTGGATTATTTCATTAGCTCTAAGGGGTATGCAACTGTGTATGTCTGTATGCATATAATCTTGGATTTTCTACATATAAAATCATGTGATCTTCAAACAGATATCTTTTTTGAGATGAGTTCTTGCTATGTTGCCCAGGCTGGCTCCAACTCCTGAGCTCAAGCAATCCTCCTACATCACTCAGGCTCCCAAGTCGCTGGAATAGCTGGCTCTCTCTTTCCCGTATCACGTATTTCCTTTTCTTGACTATTTGCCCTAGCTACTACTTCTAGTACAACATTATATAGAAATGAAATTGGGCATCTGTGTCTTGTTCCTGGTCTTATTGGAAAATCTTTCCCACTGGGTATGGTGGCACACTCCTGTAATCTTAGCTGCTTCAGAGACTGAGGCAGGAAGGCTTTGAGTTTTAAGCCAACCTGGGCAATTCAGTGGGACTCTGTCTCGTAATAAAAAGTCTGGTATGTATGTGATTCAGTGGTAGAGCACTTGCTTTCCATGTGCACAGCCCTGGGTTCATTCCCCAATACCACACCAAAAAAAGAGAAAGTTTTTAGTCCTTCACCGTGGAGTATGATGTTACCTTCGGGTTTTCATATTAAGAATGGTTTCTTCTGTTCCTACTTTAATGGGTGCTTTTATCTTGAAAGGATGTTGAATTTTGTCAATTGCTTTTTCTTACTCAGTTGAGATGATCGTGTGGGGTTTTTTTCACCTTCATTCTATTAATGTAATACTTGACATTGATTGATTTGGAACCATCTCTTCATTCTGGGATAAATTCCACTTGGTCGTGTATATAATTTTTTAATATGTTGCTGAATTCTAAATAGTATTTCCATTAGTATTCATAAGGGATTTTAATCCTTAGCACTCTTTCCTTGTATCTTTTCTAGCTTTGGTAGGGTAATGCCAGCTGCACAATGAATATGAGGGGTTTGTTCCTCACCTTTTGGGAAGAGTTTAAGAATTGGTGTTCATTTTCTCTTAACTGTTTGGTAGTCCAGGGTTTTTAAAAGGTTTTTTTGTTTGTTTTGTTTTGTTTGTAGTTTTGGGATTATGCACAGTGCTCACTGAGCTACATCCCTAGTCCTTTTGTGTGTGTGTGATAAGGTCTTGGTGAGTGACCCAGGCTGACCTTGAACTTTCAGTCCTCCTGCCTCAGTCTCCCAAGTAGCTGGAGTTATGAGCCACCATACATAGCTGTTAGGAGGTTTTTAAAAAATATTTCTCCAATCTCCTTGCTAATTATAGGTCTGTTAATATGTCTATTTATTCATGATACAGTCTTGGTAGATTGTATGTTCCTAAGAGTTTGTGTCTTTCATTCAGTGGTGGTGAGCCTTTTAGAGCTTTCAATGATTAAAAAAAACAGCACACTATGGCATGTGTGCCATAGGTTCACCACCACTGATCTAGGTTAACAGTTTGTATTCATTATCTTAACCTTTTTATGCATCTGTAGTAATGTCCTCACCTTGATTTCTGATTTCAACAGCTTGAGTCTTGGGCCCAGAATTTAGCTCTGTGTCACCATGTGCCTGCTTTGCAAACTCAAGGTCCTGAGTGCAATGAGATCCCCGGTTGGGGTGGGGGAACAAACTGACTTGAGTCTTTATCTTTTCTTTTTTTAGTTTTGCTAATCTTGAAAGAACTAACCTTTGGGGGCCGGCCAGGGATTTAGCTCAGTGGTTTCGCTGCCTGCTGCACAAGCAGAAGGACTGGAGTTCGATCCCTGGTACCAAAAAAAAAAAAAAAGAACCTTTGGGGTTTTTCTCATTCATTTTTCTATTTTCTTTATCTAATCTAATCTT